TTAAATATAAAAAAAAAATTGCCATTAAGTTTATATATAATTTTAAAATAGTACCCTCTACTCTTAATGAATAACAAACTAGAACCTGCATATGTGGGCAGTTTTGCCACCAATTTCAGTTGATTTATAATTAGATAATAACTTTAAATAACTATCAGCCACATTTTATTATCTTACAGACTAGTATGTGATCATGTGGCAGCTTTGCTGCCAACTAATTATTAGATATAACAGAATATGGTATTAACAGACACTGATAATTTGATAATACATGATTAATTGAAATCAAAAAATATATATTAAGGTGGTAATCTATTTGTTTGTTTTATAGTTCTTGGATTGCTTAAGTTTTAAGTTTTTTTATGTTTTGCCTCGCTTCGCTCGGCTAGGTTTTAAACTCTACAATTTTTTTTACTATATTTCAACAATTATTAATTGCTAATTAAAAGTTTTAATCAAGTTTCACAATAATGTAGATGCAATTTAAACATATATACTAGAACTTTATATGCGGGAGATTTGCCAATCAGTTTTAGCTAACTAATAATTAGAAGATCAGGTGTAGCAGTAAAACAATTAACATTTAAAATTCTCTCTCTTTAATGAAATAGAACACAGATACATAAAGCTAGTTTGAAAATAACCAATGCAATAACTTTCGACCTCAATTAATTTAATGATCCCATCAGGATCAGCTCTGTGAGCCAAAGTGTTTAAAACCCGAAAAAAGAATATGTTTTACTATTCGAAATTTACAATTTGATTAGCTTATTAACGTATAACTCATCTTAAATATAACTCAGCTTCTGATTTGTGTAATCGAACGAAAAAGAATCGTCCGATCTGCGTTTCTGGGCGATCTATATTGCCCATTTTTGGTAATGTGCCCGACTGAATTACTTTGTTTACTATAAAGTGCCGGGTGAGTAAAAAGTTCCTGACAAGACCTTTTTTTAATCACTGATACATTTTTGATCATCATTTTAACGTTTATACCACTATTGCGTAGATATAATAATAAATAACGGGGATAGTGAAAAAGGTTCTATCCAAGAACTTTTCATTCACTTAGTATATTCATTCAAGATCCGTTAGTTTAAATATAATGCATAAATGTTTATTGAAATCGGATTCTGCTACGTACGCAATGTACTAGCACAATACAATACATCACACTCATTACTAACTTCCTTTAAGCAATGAAAATGCCTAGTTTCATATTAAAAATTTTGCCCCGTGCTGCGTAACAAATTGTGCAATGATTACATTAGTTACTTTATTAAACTTTCGCACCATTACTACATTTTGTAGAGTCAAAAAGCTATGGCTACATTTTGCGTAATAATTTTAGAGCTTATTTGAGTCTAATAGAAAACCCGTATAAAAGGTTATTTATCGCCATGAAGAGTAGTTTTTTTTTTTTTTTTGAAGAGTTCTTTTTAGTACTTTTCGATAGTTCTTTTTTTAGAGTCTCGCTTGGATTCTTTATTCTTGTATTGTTTCTTTGATTAACTCGATCATATAATCAATATAATAAATTGCTCTCCTATCATAAAAATCATTCTTTTGCTGGTATTGAATACATTAATGATCACGGTCCAATAGCTAAATTTGCATCGAGGTATTAAAATCTCTCCCTTGGTCGTAACAACTTTTAATCTTACATCTTTACCTTACGTATCACAACATTATGGATAATATGATAATGATAAACGAAAAATGGCACCCAATTTTAGGACAAAGTGTACACTTAATCGAACCCCAGCATTACGTCAAGCTCAGTAAAATTATAAGTCCTCCTCAATTATCTGCAAATGAAAAAAATGGAAGCATATCTTTAGTTCTTCCATATATTCGACAAAAAGTTAAAATGTGGGGAGCTGATATTCTTTTGACTAAAAATATTAGAAATTTGATCGAGGAGGTTGATGATTATAGTGAAGATGATAATGATAATGATGACCCTCAGGAACAAAAGAAAAATCAATTATCTCGGTTTGATTGCATTGCCAGTTTGCTTATGTCTTCCGAATGTACTGTGATTCAGGATATTTTTCAGACCTTATCACAATTTCCAATTGCTTTTCCTTTGGTAACTCCAGATTTTAATGAAGAAGCAAAGTTCAAAATAATGCTCCCTTTGTTTACCGGTCCGGTTATCAAATGGGAAACAAAGCCTGGAACAATAATTGAAAATCACCTTTTTAAGAGCTTATTTAGAATGATTGTTGCTACTAGGATTGGAACAAATACCCCAGGCAAAAGTTCTATTCTTAATTTATTAATGTCATCAGATTCTATGTTCTCTTCGTCTGGTGAACCGGGAGCAGAATACGGAACTCCGCATATGATCGATGGAAGTATTGAGTTTACCTGGTTGGTTCAAGAGACTTGTGGAATGGGCCTATGGAAGGATATTTTTGAAAATTTCTATAAAGAAAAGGATGAAATCGTATTACTTGCGAATTTACATGGTGATGCTTTAGATTATCCAGATCAAATTCACTTTTTAAAGCAATTTCCAACTAGTTTTTTGATTTTTTTAATGCCTGGGTACGATGAAAAGCAAAAAAAGGTTCTTGAAAATTTAATAGATCACAAAAAAATAGTATATTGCTTAGTAGATTCTGGAAATAAAACAAGGAATTCAATTGACACTAAATCTTTAACAAGAGACAAAACTTTAAAAAAAGTAAGAATTATGCTCAAAGAAGCTTTAGACTTTGATATTTCAAAATTTGAAATTAATAATTTAAAGTTAGGAAAGTCGCTTCAGTTAACTGAAGAGATTGAATTTCCCGAATCTCAGCATTTAATTGATTTCATTAAAAAGAAAACTTGTCTTTATATTAAATTGGAAGTCATGCAACTTCAAAGAAACCAATACAACGATGGTTATAAAATATTTCAAGCAAATCATGAACTGCAACATTTATTAGTGCTATATATAAATGTCTTGACATTGCCTCTTGATAAAAGAAGGCGAGCTTTAGCGCATATTGAAAAAGAAGTATCCAGAATTTCTTCAATAGAATCTTCTGACGCTCGGAAAAAGGCTATGATAAAGAAAGATGAGTTACGTAAATCTAGTTTAGTTGACAGAGTTCATGAAAATAAGAACAAAGCTAGAAGTGAAATGGCAGAAATTTGGAAAGAAATTGATAATATGAGTCTAGGTTTAGAGCATTTTTTTCGTGAATTAGGTCAAATATATAAAATTATTTCTGTTCAAGATAAAAGAGTTGAAATTATGAAGTTACCAGAATTTTATGCGGAACTTTTAATTAGTGGACATACTATTGAACTACTTGACGGTGACACTGGAACTATAGCTGAAGCTTTTTTTTCGGCTATTTGCAAGCACGTCAGCAGATTATGCCCTAACCTTCGAATTTTTGTGGTTAGCATTCTTGGTTTACAATCATCCGGCAAGTCAACTCTTTTAAATGCTCTTTTTGCATGTAGATTTGCAGTTTCAGTTGGACGCTGTACTAGAGGTCTTTTTATGCGACTATTATTTTTGGAAAAAGATTTATCTGATCATCTTGGTGTTGATGCGTTTGTTCTGATTGATACCGAAGGCCTTGGTGCGCCAGAAAAGATGAATGAACCAGAATCAGAAAAAAAAGACAGAATGTTAGCAACATTTGCAATGGGAATTAGCAATTTAACAATTCTTAATGTACTTGGAGAATCTACGCGTGACTTGACCGAAATTTTGCAGATAGCTATTGTAACTATGGCACGCCTTGAAGAGGCTGGTATGGCCCCTGATATTCGTATGGTACAACATGTTTCTGAACGAAATACGTCAAAATTTTCTGAGCCAGAAGAGAAATTTCGAGAAGCTCTCCGCGAGGCTTTGACAATAGCAGATGAAAAAGATACTGCAGTGGGAATATCTAGCATGAAGTGTCTTCAGATTCTTGATGAAAGAATCAAAAAAGGTCAGCTTCTTAAACAATTTCGGCCATTCAAAAATGGAGCAACTGCTCATGCTCCGCCATCAAGACAATATCATGAAGATGTCGTTGATTTATATAATTCTATACTTGACGATTGTAAAAACTCACTTGAGAAAATTGAATTTACAAAATGGGGTTCATTAATTCAATGTTATTGGAGAGCTGTCTCCCATGAGGATTTTGCTGTTCGATTCAGAAATATTAAAGAGATTTATGATTTCATTAATCTTGGTGAACGAATCGCAAGGGTAAAAGAAACTATAAACGAGGCATTCTTCCAACACGAAGAACAGATTACGCAAAAATTTCGTACAGAGCTTCTTAAATGGTCTCATGACCATAAAACAAATTCAGATCTTAAAAATAAATGTTCGGAATTTATTAAAGAAGGGTTAATAGGTGTTCCGGGTTGTAATAAGAATTGTTATGAATGCAAGAAGGCAAATAAAGAAAGAGATAATTTAGGAAAGTACCTTAAAGATAATAAAAAGGATGAAAAATGCAAAATTGAAATTAGGCGAACTTTCGATGATTATATTCAACGACATTATGATTCATCATCAATAAAGCTTATTCGAATACTCGAAGCCAACTTTATTCGAAAAGGTCTTTCATCTGAATTTCTTGAAATAATTAACAAAGATATGGAACAGATTATGAACGAAATGAAGGGTAACGCAATGTCAGATGGGGTACGTAAACAAAAAGTTGAAGACATATGGATGGAACTACGAGAGTATATATCATCAACTTATAAGGTTAGACCAGTAACAGAACAAATAGATGAAGAAGTCAAGGATGTATTTAATAATATGGAATCACTTTTTAATAAATACAAAGAAGGAACCTTACCGAATTTGTCTAAATGTAAAGCATATAAGACATTTTTTGGTATCAGATCCTTTGGCGTGGATCGTTGTCCGGACCAGAAAGATGCTGATAAACTTGAAAAAGAGCTTGATGATTTAACAGATGTAGTCTTAGAAAAAAAAAATTCTCACCATTTTTATTCTGGAATTGTACGTGAACTTAAAAAGGAAATCAATACTATTCTTGAGAAATTTTCAACTTTATGGAACAAACGTCTTATTCCTGAGTTCAAATGGAATGTCTATCTATATGCTTTATTGATGTTTACGATAAAAATGAAAAGTTACCAAGAAAAATGGGATAAGGAAAACAATCCACTTTTTATACTTGATCAAAAGAAAGAAGTGTATAGAAATTTAATTAATACCCGGCTTCAATATGGATTTACTCTTGTTTCTGAAGGCCATATTATTGGGGATTATCTATTAGAAGTTATTCATAAAAAAGCAATAAAAGCGGGAAATTTAGAAAGAATAAAAACAGTAAAGGATGTTACATGGATGACTAGTAGTGAGACTGTGAGACTCAAATATTTTGAGATGCTTGCAGAACAGGTTCAAAACGGTAATAAAGAAGAAGCCATAATTCACTTTTTGCATCCAAGAAGATGGATAGAAAGTTGGTTTAAATGTGAAGTTAATAATATCAGAAGTAATGCAGATATCGAATATAACAAAACTTATAATTCAGAATTCGATCACGTAATTCAGCAAATTCGTAACTGCCAAAATTTAGAAGAAATCAAAAATTATGTTAGCAATTACATGTCAGAAGTTGAAGAAGTGGATTATGAAATTAATTTGGAAAAAGATAATACATTTGAAAAGCAACATATAAAATTGAGTAGTTACATTGAAAAAAGACTAAATAACTGTAAAAATCCAATGCCTGGAGGTTTTCGGAATCCATCTGATGATGAATCAGTCATGGACATGCTTGGATGTACGAAAACATGTTATTGGTGTGGCGCTTTATGCTGGGGATCTCGGGGCCATGTTCAAAATGCTGGTGAAACAAAAAAACATCATACCAGCCATCAACCTGGTGGGCTTAATAATACCAGATACAAAAATTCAAATGAACTCGTCGCAATTCCATGTCAAAAAAGGTCAGACGAACGGGGTGTATTGTATTATGGTAAAGAGGTGCCAACAAAATGGGGTGATGCAAAAATTAAAGATTTTTCAGAATGGAAATTTGAATATCACCATAACGACCAATTTAATGATCTTATGTGCTGGTTCTTTGAAAATTTGAATCATGACCTGGCAAAAAAGTGGAACCTTTTGCCTGCATCTTCTAATGAATTGAAAAAATATGGTTGCACAAACTTGGACTATTATAGTATTATTAGTACGCTTGAACAGAGAATAAATTAGGGGTGTAAATTGATTCGAAAAACTGTAATCGAATAACCGATTAAGAATCGATAATAGAATCTAAAATCTTAGATTTTTTTTTCTTTTTGTGGTATTAAAGGTCTATTTTCTCCATTATCGCTACCATTTTCATTATTAAAAACGCAAAGTTGATTTTTGCACAACCCGACCTACTCATTTTCACAATTTTTCAATTTTTTTTTTTAAGTGCCAATTGTGCTAATTATTCCATTTATTTTTTCCATTATTTTTATTCGTGTCACCCAATGAGACCCTGCTTTCTGAAATTGTCCGATAGAACCGACAGAAAAACGCCAATTGACCGACCCAAGTAACTACCCCAAGAGCACCTCGAAAAATTCTGCAAAATCACATGATTTAATTATAATGATTAAATTGTTAAATTGTAATATTGATTGTTAGCAATAATTGTTGTGGTTATATAGTAAGTAGTTTAGTATTTTTATCATAATTTATAATATGGATATCATTAATAATAACTTGCTGAATGCAAAAATGTCGAAGTTTATCCTTAAATAATTTCATTAAAAATACTCGCCAATTTAAAACTTGCGATATTTTCGTTATAACTTCTTTTTTGCAGTATAAACAGTCTAATCTTTTAAAATGCCCAAACAGTTGTTTAAGAAATTTTAGTGCTTACAGCTGTTTTCATTATCTGGTAAAAAATTGACTGAATGATTGTTGGTATCATATGCAATATCATATTTCGATGATTTTTTATATTTATGTTACCCTTATAAAAAAAGCAGTCTGTTTTGTCTCATCACTTTGGGTAATTAATTTCGCATGGATTTATACATCGATAGTATTTCATTTATGCAATACCAGATACATGCGTACGTACTTGCTCATTATTATGTTAATTACGAATCATTACCCAATCGATGGATCTTGTACAGTGCTGTAATCTTAAATTATGGATGTGAAAATTTGAAAGTTCCCTAAAAATTGAATGATCGGCAATTTAATAGTTTTAACAAATATACAAAATAGTATTACTGATATTACCTTAATTTTATTAGATTTATTCATCAATTTTTAAGGGAACTTCATTCTTACGTACTTACTATGTCGTGCCTGAAGTTGGCACCCGACTAAAGTTGAAACTTCAAGTGCCTGAAGTTGCACCTGACTGAAATTAGCTCCAGAAATTAGTCATCCTGCACGCATCTAGCTAGCGGTTTTAGGCAGTGCAAACTTCGGGTGCCTGAAGTTCCAACTTCAGGCAGATGCCAACTTCAGGCACGACATCAATCTTACTTTTAATAGTTATAACATTACCACTAGTTTTGTGCACGTGCTTTGCAACGTGTGTGAGAGGATGTTTTAAAAGGGTTGTTATTTTTGATTAGAGTTTAATAATATGTATAAACTTTAAGGTAACAAAATTTTGATTTATAAGATTTATTTGAAGTTTTTTTTAAATTTTATATTGACTAATTTGTAATTTTAATTGGTTGTACAAAATTTTTGATGTTTTTGATATGTATGTACAGGTTTTGTATACCAATTTCAAACATAAATTTGAACATTTGAGCAATCAAATTTGAATATAGTAGCAATCAAATTTAAACATAATAGCAATCAAATTGAGACATACAGTGTCTGACAAAAGTTTTCCCGCACCTTTAACTCAGCACAGAGGTGAGGTAAGTAAATTTTTTTTATTTAAAAATATAGATGTTTTATAGAATAGGTTGGCAAACTCCGCAATTTCAATATTAAAAAATTAATGATTACAAATCATTAGTGAAGCTTATTTCTTATATTGTCCACCTATTTTATAGAATATCCAAAAATACATTGCATTATAAGAAAAATCAATGCATTGTATAATTGTCCTCAGTTTCAATTAGGGCTTCTACATGACCTTTCATACTTCTAACCAAATTTTTTGCATATTCTTTAGGTAAGCTATTCCATTCCCTTGTTATTTCACCTTTCAAATGAATAAGTGTTTTAATTTTTTTTTGTTAGATTTATTTTTATGAGCTCTCAGAC